ATATTCGATTCGAGTCGAATATATTCGCTGTGAATTTAACTTAAAAAAGGGTGTTTCTAGGCTTCAGAGAGACTTAATATTAGTGCAGAACACTGTACCTTTAATTTAAATGCCCTTGGAGTCTGCTGGGGAAGAGAAATAATACTGTCAGTCAGTATGACATGCAGATGAGTGCCGTCGATCTTAGAATCACCGCACACTTCACTCATTTGGCCAGTCACGGGGCCAAAACCAGTGTTTGGAGCCACAGTGTGGCGGTGGAGGCAGCAGCAATGGGAGGCCATACAGCAACCTATGACAAAATGGAAACCAGCAGGAGTGTGAGGAGACCTCAAAGTGGCACATGGCAGAGTGGGAGCAATGGGAGGCGGTACAGGGACCCATGTCACACTGTGGACCCAGCAGCAGCGTGACCAGGCGGTACGGAGGCCCATGGCAGATTACAGGCCTGGCAGCAGCAATGGGAGGCCCGTAATCTGTCAGCACCCTATGACAAAATGGAACCCACCAGCAGTGTGAGGAGACCTGAAAGTGGCACATGGCAGAGTGTGGCGATGGAGACAGCAGCAATGGGAGGCCGTACAGGGACCCATGAGAGACTCTGGACCTGGCAGCAGCATGAGGAGGCGGTATAGGGGCCCATGGCAGATTAGGGGCCTGGCAGCAGCTATAGGAGGCCCGTAATCTGCCAGCACCCTATGTCAAAAAATTCAACACACCAGCAGTGTGAGGGAGACCTGAAAGTGGCACATGGCAGAGTGTGGCGATGGAGACAGCAGCAATGGGAGGCCGTACAGGGACCCATGACAGACTCTGGACTTGGCAGCAGCATGAGGAGGCGGTATATAGGGGCCCATGGCAGATTAGGGGCCTGGCAGCAGCTATGGGAGGCCCGTAATCTGCCAGCACCCTATGTCAAAAAATTCAACACACCAGCAGTGTGTGAGGAGACCTGAAAGTGGCACATGGCAGAGTGTGGCGATGGAGACAGCAGCAATGGGAGGCCGTACAGGGACCCATGAGAGACTCTGGACCTGGCAGCAGCATGAGGAGGCGGTATAAGGGGCCTATGGCAGATTAGGGGCCTGGCAGCAGCTATGGGAGGCCCGTAATCTGCCAGCACCCTATGTCAAAAAATTCAACACACCAGCAGTGTGAGGAGACCTGAAAGTGGCACATGGCAGAGTGTGGCGATGGAGACAGCAGCAATGGGAGGCCGTACAGGGACCCATGACAGACTCTGGACTTGGCAGCAGCAGCATGAGGAGGCGGTATAGGGGCCCATGGCAGATTAGGGGCCTGGCAGCAGCTATGGGAGGCCCGTAATCTGCCAGCACCCTATGACAAAAAATGGAACACACCAGCAGTGTGAGGAGACCTGAAAGTGGCACATGTTTGGGGCATGATTCATGGCGGATTTAGTCAGTTGTGTCAGGAACTGGTGGTTTGAAATCCAGACTAATCCACGCCTGATTCATTTTCACAAACGTGAGTCTCTCCACACTTTGGGTGGACAGTCGTGTCCTCCGCGGAGTTGCAATACCTCCTGCCGCACTAAACACGCGCTCCGATGCCACGCTACTGGCCGGGCATGACAGCCTTTCAAGGGCAAATTCAGCTAGTTGGGGCCAAAGGTCAAGTTTCGTTGCCCAGTAGTCAAGGGGATTGTCTACCTCGGTTGGCAGGGTGCTGTCCAAGTAGGCCTAAGCCTGTTGTTTGAGGTCCTGCTCCAGGTCCACCTGATGCTGCTGCTGCTGCTGCTGCTGCTGCGGCTGGTTATTAGTTTCCTCACTGCGCTGGTGAAGAAAGCTACTCATCATCGACTGCAGACTGAGGCAGCTGCTGCTGGTGGAGCTGCCACTGCTCCTCCTACCACCCCACCCCTCCCCTGCTGCCATGGCAGCGTAACGCGAGCGCACAGGGCCCACAGTGTCTGAGGATGGACGTTGGCGCAGACAGGCAGAGACCAGCTGACTACATAGGTGGTTTTTATAGTACGTTATTTTGGCCTCCCTCTCAGCAGGTGTGAAAAAGGCCACCATTTTGGAACGGTAGCGAGGGTCCAACAAGGTGGACAGCAGCCAAAAGTCATCCCTCTGTCTGATGGTTATTATTCGGCTGTCGTACGCAAGCAAGCGAGCATGCTATGGGCCATTTGTGCCAAGGAATGCGAGGGACTCCCTGCCTCCATCTCCACAGCATACTGCCACGGTGCGTCTGGGTCCTCTGTCTCCTCTTCCTCCTCCTCTACCAGATGCTCCTGCTCCTCCACTCCTGTCCGCTGAGTGGAAAAACCACCCATTTCACTCAATAATTCCTGAGCACCAATGTCCTCCTCTACCTCCTCCTCTTCTTCCTGTCCTGCCCCCACAGGGGTCATGTGGCGTTGAGATCTGTGCGCCACGTCTACCGCACCCTGACCAGCCATTATTAACAGCATTTGTTCCAGGACGTGCAACAGAGGAATGACGTCGTTCATCCCATAGTCCTGCCGACTCACGAATAGCGTGGCCTCCTCAAAGGGCCTGAGCAAGCGCAGGTGTCACGCATGAGCTGCCAATGGCTGACATCTAAGTTACACAGGGAGTACCTTTATCCGCTTTTAACATCAGGAAATCTGTGATGGCCTTTTGCTGTTCGTAAAGGCGGTCTAACATATGTAGGGTTGAATTCCACCTTGTTGCAACGTCACAGCATGAGGAGTCGGTACGGGGGCCCATGGCAGATTACGGGCCTGGCAGCAGCAATGGGAGGCCCGTAATCTGCCAGCACCCTATGTCAAAAAATTCAACACACCAGCAGTGTGTGAGGAGACCTGAAAGTGGCACATGGCAGAGTGTGGCGATGGAGACAGCAGCAATGGGAGGCCGTACAGGGACCCATGAGAGACTCTGGACCTGGCAGCAGCATGAGGAGGCGGTATATAGGGGCCCATGGCAGATTAGGGGCCTGGCAGCAGCTATAGGAGGCCCGTAATCTGCCAGCACCCTATGTCAAAAAATTCAACACACCAGCAGTGTGAGGAGACCTGAAAGTGGCACATGGCAGAGTGTGGCGATGGAGACAGCAGCAATGGAGGCCGTACAGGGACCCATGACAGACTCTGGACTTGGCAGCAGCATGAGGAGGCGGTATATAGGGGCCCATGGCAGATTAGGGGCCTGGCAGCAGCTATGGGAGGCCCGTAATCTGCCAGCACCCTATGTCAAAAAATTCAACACACCAGCAGTGTGTGAGGAGACCTGAAAGTGGCACATGGCAGAGTGTGGCGATGGAGACAGCAGCAATGGGAGGCCGTACAGGGACCCATGACAGACTCTGGACCTGGCAGCAGCATGAGGAGGCGGTATAGGGGCCCATGGCAGATTAGGGGCCTGGCAGCAGCTATGGGAGGCCCGTAATCTGCCAGCACCCTATGTCAAAAAATTCAACACACCAGGTGTGAGGAGACCTGAAAGTGGCACATGGCAGAGTGTGGCAGGCAGCAGCAATGGATGGCGACAGCTGCCCATGCTGACTGGCGCAGCATGAGGAGGCTGTAGTCCCAACATGGGCCCCCTGGCCACGCTTGACTTTCTGGCCACATAGTCGACATACGGCTACGTTTACTTCCTGAGGGGCGGCTTGCAGAAAAATTGCCACAGCCGAGTAGGAAACTTTGGAGCTACCCATGAGAGACTGGCTGACTGGCACAGCCTCCGTGCACAAGGGGCCCATGGCACCACTACTGGCCAGTGGTGGGAGGCCCCTGAAAGTGGCAAAAATGGTGCACACACCGTGGCCGTTGCCTCCACTGACACTGCTGCGACCCTGCTGCCTCCTGCGATGCAGCAGCAATGGGAGGCCGTACAGGGACCCATGAGAGACTCTGGACCTGGCAGCAGCATGAGGAGGCGGTATAGGGGCCCATGGCAGATTAGGGGCCTGGCAGCAGCTATGGGAGGCCCGTAATCTGCCAGCACCCTATATGTCAAAAAATTCAACACACCAGCAGTGTGTGAGGAGACCTGAAAGTGGCACATGGCAGAGTGTGGCGATGGAGACAGCAGCAATGGGAGGCCGTACAGGGACCCATGAGAGACTCTGGACCTGGCAGCAGCATGAGGAGGCGGTATAGGGGCCCATGGCAGATTAGGGGCCTGGCAGCAGCTATGGGAGGCCCGTAATCTGCCAGCACCCTATGTCAAAAAATTCAACACACCAGCAGTGTGTGAGGAGACCTGAAAGTGGCACATGGCAGAGTGTGGCGATGGAGACAGCAGCAATGGGAGGCCGTACAGGGACCCATGAGAGACTCTGGACCTGGCAGCAGCATGAGGAGGCGGTATATAGGGGCCCATGGCAGATTAGGGGCCTGGCAGCAGCTATAGGAGGCCCGTAATCTGCCAGCACCCTATGTCAAAAAATTCAACACACCAGCAGTGTGAGGAGACCTGAAAGTGGCACATGGCAGAGTGTGGCGATGGAGACAGCAGCAATGGGAGGCCGTACAGGGACCCATGACAGACTCTGGACTTGGCAGCAGCATGAGGAGGCGGTATATAGGGGCCCATGGCAGATTAGGGGCCTGGCAGCAGCTATGGGAGGCCCGTAATCTGCCAGCACCCTATGTCAAAAAATTCAACACACCAGCAGTGTGTGAGGAGACCTGAAAGTGGCACATGGCAGCAGAGTGTGGCGATGGAGACAGCAGCAATGGGAGGCCGTACAGGGACCCATGACAGACTCTGGACCTGGCAGCAGCATGAGGAGGCGGTACAGGGGCCCATGGCAGATTAGGGGCCTGGCAGCAGCAATGGGAGGCCCGTAATCTGCCAGCACCCTATGAAAAAATTCAACACACCAGCAGTGTGAGGAGCTGAAAGTGGCACATGGCACGGTTTTTCCCAGGCCATGGAATGGCGACGCTGCATGAGGATGCTGACGCAGCAGCAACGCTGGGCCCAACATGGGCCCCCAGGCCACGCTTGACTTTCTGGCAGCATAGAGGACGGCTACGTAATACTTCCTCGGGCGGCTATGACGAAAAATTGCCACAGGCCGAGTGAGGAAACTTTGCCCCCGCTACTCCTCAATGGGAGGCTGACTGCTACTTCCTCCGTGCACACCGGCACCACTACTGGCCGTGGTGGTAGGGGGCAAAGGCTGCAGTGGAGCTGGTGCTCTACTCCGTGGCCGTTTGCCTCCACTGACACTGCTGAAAGTGCCCTGCAGAGTGTGGCGATGGAGACAGCAGCAATGGGAGGCCGTACAGGGACCCATGACAGACTCTGGACCTGGCAGCAGCATGAAGAGGCGGTATAGGGGCCCATGGCAGATTAGGGGCCTGGCAGCAGCTATGGGAGGCCCGTAATCTGCCAGCACCCTATGTCAAAAAAATTGGAACACACCAGCAGTGTGTGAGGAGACCTGAAAGTGGCACATGGCAGAGTGTGGCGATGGAGACAGCAGCAATGGGAGGCCGTACAGGGACCCATGAGAGACTCTGGACCTGGCAGCAGCATGAGGAGGCGGTATAGGGGCCCATGGCAGATTAGGGCCTGGCAGCAGCTATGGGAGGCCCGTAATCTGCCAGCACCCTATGTCAAAAAATTCAACACACCAGCAGTGTGTGAGGAGACCTGAAAGTGGCACATGGCAGAGTGTGGCGATGGAGACAGCAGCAATGGGAGGCCGTACAGGGACCCATGAGAGACTCTGGACCTGGCAGCAGCATGAGGAGGCGGTATATAGGGGCCCATGGCAGATTAGGGGCCTGGCAGCAGCTATAGGAGGCCCGTAATCTGCCAGCACCCTATGTCAAAAAATTCAACACACCAGCAGTGTGAGGAGACCTGAAAGTGGCACATGGCAGAGTGTGGCGATGGAGACAGCAGCAATGGGAGGCCGTACAGGGACCCATGACAGACTCTGGACTTGGCAGCAGCATGAGGAGGCGGTATATAGGGGCCCATGGCAGATTAGGGGCCTGGCAGCAGCTATGGGAGGCCCGTAATCTGCCAGCACCCTATGTCAAAAAATTCAACACACCAGCAGTGTGTGAGGAGACCTGAAAGTGGCACATGGCAGAGTGTGGCGATGGAGACAGCAGCAATGGGAGGCCGTACAGGGACCCATGAGAGACTCTGGACCTGGCAGCAGCATGAGGAGGCGGTATATAGGGGCCCATGGCAGATTAGGGCCTGGCAGCAGCTATGGGAGGCCCGTAATCTGCCAGCACCCTATGTCAAAAAATTCAACACACCAGCAGTGTGTGAGGAGACCTGAAAGTGGCACATGGCATGATTGTGGCGATTTAGTCAGTTGTGTCAGGAACTGGTGGTTTGCCGTACTAATCCACCCATGAGAGATTCATTTTCACAAACGTGCAGCTCCACATGAGGAGGCGGTGGACAGTCGTGTCCTCCGCGGCAGATTAAATACCTCCTGCCGCACTAAACACGCGCTCCGATGCCACGCTACTGGCCGGGCATGACAGCCTATTTCAAGGGCACAATTCAGCAGCAGTTGGGGCCAAAGACCTGAAGTTTCGTGGCCCAGTAGCAAGGAGATTGGCTACCTCGGTTGGCAGGGTGCTGTCCAAGGGGCCCAAGCCTGACCTGGCAGCAGCATGAGGAGGCGGTATTGTTTGAGCTCCTGCTCCAGGTCCACCTGATGCTGCTGCTGCTGCGGCTGGTTAGTAGTTTCCTCACATGATAGGGCGCTGGTGAAGCAAAGCTATACAGGGCCCATGACAGCAGACTGAGGCAGCCGCTATGGGAGGCCCGTAATCTGCCAGCACCCTATGTCCAAACCACCCCACACACCTGCTGCCATGTGGAGGAGACCTGAAAGCGGCACATGGCCCACAGTGTGGCGATGGAGACAGCAGCAATGGGAGAGACCCGTACAGTGGACCCCATAGACGACTCTATTTTGGCAGCAGCATGAGCAGCGTGTAAAGGGGCCCATGGCAGATTAGGGGCGAGGGCAGCAGCTATGGGAGCCCGTAATCTGCCAGCACCCTATGTCTGAAAAAATTAAACACACCAGCAGTGTGAGGAGACCTGAAAGTGGCACATGAGCAGAGCATGCTAGACAGCCATTTGTGGAGGCCGTAAAGACCCATGAGCGAGCCTGGACTCCCTGGTATAGGGGCCCTGGCACAGCATAGGGGCCACGGCAGCAGCTATGGGGCCCTGTCTCCTCCTCCTCGCCCCTCTACCAGATGCTCCTGCTCCTCCACTCCTGTCCGCTGAGTGGACCTGAAAGTGGCACATCACTCAGAGAGTGTGGCGATGAGACAGCAGCAATGAGGCCGTACAGGGACCTCCATGAGAGACTCTGGACCTGGCAGCAGCATGAGGAGGCGGTCATAGGGGCCCATGGCAGATCTAGGTGCCTGGCAGCAGCTATGGGAGGCCCGTAATCTGCCAGCACCCTATGTCAAAAAATTCAACACACCAGGACGTGTGAGGAGACCTGAAAGTGGCACATGCCGAGACTCACGAATGGAGCGTGGCAGCTCCTCAAAGAGGCCTGAGCAACAGGGTGTCCGCATGAGCAGCCAATGGCTGCCCATGGAAGCACAGCTATGGGAGTACCCGTTATCTGCCCAGCACCCTATGTCAAAACATTCAGGACACTGTAAGCAGCAGTGATGGCCTGAAAGCTGTTCGCAAAGGCAGGTCTAACATGTGACAGCAAAAATTCCACCTTGTTGCAACATCGCAGATCAGCGATGCTGTGAGGGCACAAACCATGCAGTAGGGGCCTGCCGCTGCAGCTATCAAGACCCGTAAGGGTGGATTGACAGCAGCATGAGGCCGTACAGGAATGGCATGAGAGACTCTGGACATGGCAGCAGCATGAGGAGGATGTCTTCATAGGGGCCCATGGCAGATTAGGGGCCTGGCAGCAGCTAACACGAGGCCCGTAATCTGCCAGCACCCTATGTCAAAAAATTCAACACACCAGCAGTGTGTGAGGAGACCTGAAAGTGGCACATGGCATTTTGTGGCGATGGAGACAGCAGCAATGGGAGGCCGTACAGGGAGTTCCTCCCCATGAGAGACTCTGGACCTGGCAGCAGCATGAGGAGGCGGTATATAGGGGCCCATGGCAGATTAGGGGCCTGGCAGCAGCTATGGGAGGCCCGTAATCTGCCAGGCACCCTATGTCAAAAAAATGAAACACACCAGCAGTGTGTGAGGAGACCTGAAAGTGGCACATGGCAGAGTGTGGCGATGGAGACAGCAGCAATGGGAGGCCGTACAGGGACCCATGAGAGACTCTGGACTTGGCAGCAGCATGAGGAGGCGGTATATAGGGCCCATGGCAGATTAGGGGGCCTGGCAGCAGCTATAGGAGGCCCGTAATCTGCCAGCACCCTATGTCAAAAAATTCAACACACCAGCAGTGTGAGGAGACCTGAAAGTGGCACATGGCAGAGTGTGGCGATGGAGACAGCAGCAATGGGAGGCCGTACAGGGACCCATGCAGAGACTCTGGGCCCGTAATGGCAGCAGCATGAGGAGGCGGATATAGGGGCCCATGGCAGAGAGTGTGGCGCCTGGAGACAGCAGCTATGGGAGGCCCGTATCTGGCCAGCACCCTATGTCAAAAAATGGAACTGGCACCAGCAGTGTGAGGAGGCGGTAAAGTGGCACATGGCAGAGTAGGGGGCGCTATGGGACAGCCGTAAATGCCAGCACCGTACAGGGACCCATGACAGACTCTGGACCTGGCAGCAGCATGAGGGACCTGGCGGTATAGGGGCCCATGGCAGATTAGGGGCCTGGCAGCAGCTATGGGAGGCCCGTAATCTGCCAGCACCCTATGTCAAAAAATTCAACACACCAGCAGTGGTGTGAGGAGACCT